GGGGGGGGGGGATGGGTGGACATTTGGACAGTAACAGAGCAAACTTGTAAACAAGAAGGCAAAATAATTATATGTATTAAGTTTATACTAGCTTGAAGAAAAACCGGTGGACTATAACCAAGTTTTGAAAATTTTTAGAACTTGAGTCAGTGAGTAACCAGAGGAGACAGTAGACCTGCTACAAGTTGGCCCTCACTTAGTCCTTTTTTCCCGTTTTGTTTTTGGTTTAATTTTTTTTTTTTTTCATTTACCCACGCAACATTTTGGAGTAATAAAAACTCGTTAAGACGTGTGTGCTAAAAAATGGAAACAATGGAATTAAACTTAACTAATACAAGCAGTTAAGTGAGGCATTCTCAATTCATAAACTGTTTTAGAAAGTCTAAGGAGCCAGTTGAAAAATTGTCAAGCTATAGAATGCCTTGTGCCTGTAGTTTAACAAACTGATTCAGTGTTTAGTACTGAATTTCTTGGATACCGCAATGACTAAAATTAGACAACATCAAAGATACTGAAATCGGTACCGTTATTGTCATTGTTATTGTTATTGTTATTGTTATATTTATTATTATTATTATTATTATTATTATTATTATTATTATTATTATTATTATTATTATTATTTGTGTGACTCCAGATGGAGTGGCAGGGGCATGGTTTTGAGTCCTGGCCGAGGTCATTGTGTTTGTTGTGTTCTTGGGGAAGACTCTACTATCACAGTGACTCCCTCCACCCAGGTGTAATGTTGGGGGGGTAACCCTGTGATGAACTAGCATCCCATTCCCTGGGAGAACTCCCATATAAATTATAAGGATGGGGGTGTTCATCGGAAATTTTGAAAAGAACCTGTAAGAGGTGCCAAAATCCTGCTTTGTGGGCATGGCTTGAAATTTTTTTTTCGTCCCTAGGAGAAACCAATTCTAAACAACACATTATCTCCTGTCATATTGTTTTTCAGCTTTTAAATACCCTGAAAGGTACCGCAACAGCTCTCGCTGTGTACCTTTTGATGCTGAATACCCTGAGAGGAACCTAAACTGCTTTTTAACCCCTAAAAGGTATGACAAGCAACCCCATCCTCTTCATATTGGAGTCCTATGGGATCCTATCCAGGGAAGAGAAGGAATACTCCTAGTTGCTTCATGCTACAAAAACCGGAGATAAGCGACGACCTCACAGCTCATGGGCCACTTGGCAGATTTAACCTACCCTTTACCTATAGCCGACCCCCCCATAGCCTAAATATAACAAAAGAGTTCGTGACAACTGACCGGAAGTGCCTGTTCTTTGATACACATGCCTCCATTTCCAAATTTGGCGGCAGATGATGACGTCACTCCCACTGGGTCCCTTCCTGCGAGCAAAAAGGTTGGAAGCGCGAAGAGGTCGTGTGTTTTCCAAATTTTTTTAATTTGAGGTCCTTTACAACACAAAAAACGGCGTCTATTGGTGAGTAGNCTTGTTTTTTCCCCCCCCCCCCCCCCCCCCCCCCTCCCCCAATAGCCTAAATATAACGAAAGAGATCGTGACAACTGACCGGAAGTGTCTATGCTTTGATACACATGCCACCATTTCCAAATTTGGCGGCAGATGATGACGTCACTCCCACTGGGTCCCTTCCTGCGAGCAAAAAGGTTAGAAGCGCGAAGAGGTCGTGTGTTTTCCAAATTTTTTTAATTTGAGGTCCTTTACAACACAAAAAACGGCGTCTATTGGTGAGTAGGTTGATGTACTTCGTGAGTACTTGTAAATGTTTCTGTATGAGTTTGAAAGTCGCGTGTTTATAGCTTCACCGGCAGTTGTTTAACACCATGGCGAATGAAGAATGCAAAATGTTTTGAAAAATATTGCAAGCTAGCTTTCTTCAATGAGTAATGTTATGATAGCGACTGTGGTAGGCATTTATTTTGTGGAAGAAACCAAAACAATGTGCCTTAAATCAATGCTGATGGTTAAAATAGATTTAGCTTTGATTTAATGAGCGTAATGGGAAGGAAAACCCGACAGTCTGGGCCATTTATATTTCAACTCTTACTGTTTATAATATCGGTCACAAGAGTGGGTATTTGTGTAAAGAAGGACACGGTCGTAAGCTTAGCTATTATCGGGTTTTCGTGTGGTCGAATAACCTTTGTTATTTCGTCTAAGGTGACTTTTTGGATGTTTTAGTTTATCTCCGTAGGTGGTCAAAATATGGCACGTACAATGTAAATTTCACAAAGATCGATCAAAACCGGAAATTTTGTTGCTTCTTTTTAAAGCCCGGGTGAATTTTAAAGCACCTTTACTTATGAGTACCTCGATTTTGAGACGATCGATAGACGAAGCGTAGTTTTCTTTGTTAATTATTTCGAAAGTCTGTGACAAAAATTTGAACTTGCAAACAGGATGATTTCCGTTTTCAGCCTTGATCACGAATTGAACTAATTATAAATTGAAAGTTGCATGACTTGGAACATTAAATCACGCGCAGGTCAGAATTAATGAACAGAAGTTTTTTGTTTCAGTCCTTTGTATTTCATAGGTATGAAAACTTTGCTTGAAACTAGCTACATAACTAGGATAGATAATTTTTTTTTTATTATTGACTTTTTGCAAACTTCTGGGCTGGGCAAGTTTAAACTAGCCCTC